CAGGGAGGGGTAGAAACAGCCTGGGACTGGTGTCAACTCCCCCAGGGAGTACAAAAGTCCGAGGTGAGGTGTCAGAGCGAAGCTGGCGGGCTCTGTGCTGGCTGCGCCCTGCCCTCTCCAGCTTTACGCATGGGCTTGGCTTGTCTTTTGAGGACAGCAGGGGAGCTCCAGCCATCTCTCCTGAGGACAGATCTTCTCCCACAGCCAAGGGGCCTTATACTAGAGGCTCCCAAGGGCAGAAGAAGCCAGCAGTCAGGGCTCTATATTAGGGTGAAGGGCCAGCTGGGATGGCCATGGCCGCCCCAGAGAGGGGCGCACAGCCTGGCTGGCGGGTGGCAAGACCTCTGAGTTAATGTATAATTGTGAGCAGATGGCGGGGGCTGGCGGCAGCCTGGGGCCAGGGCCCAGCTAATGAGGGACAATTAGCCCCAAACCCAGTGGGGGTGGTTGAGAGAATCAGACGGTGAAGGTAGATATTTGCTCCTCAAACAGTCTGGCGCGCTGGGCAGAGGGCTGAGTGGCTGAGCTTTGGGGCTGGCTAGGCCCCCCTGCCAGAGCCCTCTCTCTCTTTTCCCTCCCCCCATCACCTCTGGGGCGAAAGCCTGTGTTTGTTCAGACCCAAGAGTGCGTCGTAAAGGCGGGGGGAGAGGGTAGTTTATGGGGGAAATCCCTGCCACCACCATCTGCCAGGGCTTGTCCCTTCTCCCCCTGACACCCCACTCTCCACCCTCATGCAGCTGTCTATGGGCATAGCGGGGTCAGGGCACAGAGCCTTGCACTCTCAGAAGCAGGGGTAGATGGGGGTAGATGAGATGAGGCAGGAAAGGGGGACTAAGACCAGGTTACCCCCTGCTTCCTTGGGGTCCCCTTTCACCCAGGTATGGCTGAGTGGAGCGACCAACAGTCCCAGCTGCCCTGGGATTAAATGGGCTCCACAGGCACTAGGGGATGTGCTGTCCTGCCCATGGTGCTGAACCACTGCTGTGGTCTCCCCACGCCCCAGGGCTCTGGACCAGCCGGAGGAGGCTGGAGGAGGAGGGGAGTACCTGCAGGGGAAGGTAGAAAACCCATTTCTTGGCCTTGCTTTGAGAACAAGAGTTCCCAGCCCTAGGATCAAGCTGACCATACAACACCCACC